CAATGGCACGTTGTCAAAGGGTCCCTTTGCTGACACTACATAGGCTATAAGTATTGGACTGCATTTATCACAGCTATTATACTGGTGAATCTATTTGAGTTGCCAGCTGACTGGTCACAGAGCCAAACAAAGACTGGATTGGCTTTGTTTAGCTCTGTAATATAGTAACCCGGAAGCGATGACCTGACATCACTTCTGGGTTACTTGGAACTAAAATGCGCCATTAAATATATATATATATTAAAAAAAAAAAACATTCAATCACACGGTTCTTGGTGTGATTGAATGATTTTGAGGGCAGAGGAGGGATTTGGGACCTCATTGACCCCAGATCCCTCCATAAAGAGTACCTGTCACAAGGGATTACATTCCTTGTGACAGCAATAAAAGTGATTAAAAATTTTTAAAGTGATAGTGTAAAATAAATAAATAATAACAAAAAAATAAATAAAAGTGTCTCCTCCCCCTTGCTTTCACGCAAAGGCCCAGCACACATGCAGACAGCGATTGTCCCACACATGTATCAATGTGAACTTCAGATCATGGGCAGTAATTCTAGCACCAGACCTCTTCTGTAAATCTAAAGTGGTAACCGGTAAAGTCTTTTAAAGTGTCGCCTATGGATAGTAAAATGTTTGTAGTTTGTCGCTGTTGCACAGGCGGGAGCAGTTTTAAAATGTGTCATGTTTGGTATCTATTTACTCGGCGTAATAATCTTTTATATTTTACCAAAAAAGTGGATTATGGATTTATTGTGGGTTTTTTTGCATTAAAAATAAAATTCAAAAGAGTGTGTTTGAAAAAAAACCGCTGCACAAATACCATGTGACATAAAAAATGCAAAACCCACCAATTTATTCTCTAGGGCCTCTGCTTTAAAAGTATATAATGTTTTCTAGTAAAAAATTACTGATTGTTACATGTAAACAAAAGTGCTAGAAAGGTTTGGTCTGGAAGTGGATATAAATGAGAAAAAGTTTGTGTAATTCCAGTCATTTAAAAAAAGTATGATATCCATCTCACTAACCACAATGTGCACTGTGTGAGTTTTGTGGTAACTTAAGTACAATAAAGGCAGTCTGGTATGGGGTATTTAATGTATGACTGATATAATGTTCCCATCTGTCATGTTCAAAGTATTAAAAGAGGAAAATTTGGTGCTGTTCATCTTTCTGAAACTAAAGGCAGCATACAGAGTAATAGAAGTCTGCAAACCACATCCAAGCTGCGTCTCTATGATGCTTTGGTATTCAATTTGACACTGTTATGATTTTTATGGCAATATTGTTTGATTTTCATCTTTAAACAAAGGTATTATGTAGACATTAAAGTGAATTGTTGCCTACCAGCTATGTTGGAGTACTAGAGAACAGATGTGTATGAAAAATGGTGCTTCTTCCTATATTTTAGGGAGCCTATTAAGACACACTAAATTTTCAAAGAGAAATATGTTTGCTGAAGAACAGCCAATAGTATAGCATTACAAAGCTTTCATTATTAAATCATTCCTTCGGAACCAATGAAGCAATGGAAGGAGCAAATGTTATGCAAGCTGTGTATAAAACATTTCAAATTGTCATAAAGCCGGTACAATAATTTTTCCCTCATTACAACAAAAGTGATTATGGTGTCTTTCTTGCCAGGCCTTCCTTCTGCACCTCTGCTGTGTACATGAACCAAGCCTAAATGTAGTTGATTTATTTTCTGCATGGGATGTTGACTGTGTATTGACATGTACCCCTGTAGTTTTCATTGTCATCTTTTATCATGCACTACAGCAGGGCTTAAAATTTCAAGTCTAGACTTACTAGCCAGGCACAAACTCTACTCTCCATCAGTTGCCCCACCAAACCTTGCCCAGGTCCATCTCCAACCCCACCCCAGGCTTGTCCCCCAACCCCAGCCCCAGCCCTGTCCCAAACCACACCCCCTTAAAGCTTATGAAACTACATTTTTCTTTAGAATAAAGAGTCCAAAATATAAAAAACAGCAGTTATTACATAGCTTTATTATGTCAATTTAAACATAACAGCAATAGCTTAATAGAGTCTAGAGGGCAAGTGGTAAACATAAAACAATGTAAACATAAAATGAAAAAAAGTGTCCTCTCCTTTACATCAGGTGTCCCCATCTACATCAGGTTTCCCCATCAGAGTCCCCCTTTACATCAGGTGTCCCCATCAGAGTCCTCCTTTACATTAAGTGTCTCCATCAGAGTCCCCCTTTTACATCAGGTGTCCCCATCAGAGTCACCCTTTATATAATGTGTTCCCATTAGAGTCCACCTTTACATCAGGTGTCCCCATCAGAGTCACCCTTTATACAAGGTGTTCCCATCAGAATCCCCCTAAGGTGTTCCCTTCAGAGCCCCCCGTTACATCAGGTGTCCCCATAAGTGTAACCTCACCTTTCCCCATTGTACTCACAGATCTTCTCATGAATGCAGCTTCTCCTTCTTTCCCTTCTTCGGTAATGTGATAAGTCACATGACAAGGGAGAGAGGAAGGACACTTTGCCTTCACTCCCTAGTACCGGCTGTCTATTGCCCCCTGCAGGCAAGAGGGAGGAGAAAGCCTAGTCCTCCCTGTAGCAAGTGTCAGCAGCTGCTCCGTGACAGAAGTGAAACTGTGATCACTTCGGTCAGCGGTACCAGCAGTGCGCCCCCCCCAACACAGTGCTCGGGGCAGGTTGGTGCTGCACTTGCCCACATATTATATTCACTAGCCAAATGCAAGCAGGCGAGTGGAAATTTCAAGCCCTGCACTACAGCATATGTCTATTATGAGTACACAATGATATATATTTTTTCACTAAAAATATTGAACAAGAAAAAACTGAAAATTTGCTAGATTCACATATTTTTTCCTTCCCAAAGCAAAAAACATGTCTGGATGGGACTTTTTATATATTTGCACATGAGTGTTCATAAGACATAGTTTATTTAGAAAAAAGAGAAACAATAAAAACATAGGCTTTGTTGAGGCTCACCCGTGGGGATTAGTCACTTTTCAATACAGCTACATTTATTTGTGATCATTTGGGGTTTGTAAGTCCAGTGTGATTTTTTTTTGGATTGATTGATATGTCTGTTATAAATATCGATTGGTTTTGATATTACGTTTGCATGTTTTTCAGTGTTCACACATTCTCATTTCCTCTGAGGAAGAAAGCTATTTTGACGCACGTTGGGATAAAGAGAATTGTACCTAATATGTTTTGAAAGCATAGCTTTATTTACAGCCTCATCCATTGTTTTTATTGTTTTTTTTAAGTATATGAGTCTAAATAAACTAGGTTTTTTTGGACATACATGTGCAAATATGTGGAATGCCTAAAGTCCCATCCAGAAATGTGTTTTGCTTTAATATACTTAGGGATGTTGACATTCACGTAATGGGTGGAATCTCTTTGGGTTCATCTTTCTTTTTTTTTTTTCTCCCTGCATTCTTAATAATTAACTATGCCAGCTTTCTGTAAAGTCAATAGTTGGCTTGATGCATATATAAATCCAATGACTAAAATCTCATGTAAGCTTTAAAAAGTCAATTGAAAAAATTTCAGATGTGTAGCTGTAATTAAAATATCACCTAGCAATCCTGTTCCTGATTTACTAAAACTGAAGCACTCAGAATCTGGTGCAGCTGTACATGGTAGCCAATCAGCTTCTAACTTCAGCATGTTCAGTTAAGCTTTGGCAATAAAACCTGGATGCTGATTGGTTTCTATGCAGAATTGCACCAGATTTAGCACTTTTCGGTTTTAGTAAATCTCCCCATCTTTTTATACAATAAAGCTGGCCATGCATTAGCAATTTTTGAATGAACGTTCATGCAAACATTCTTGAGAATATTTGTGCAGGAAATCTCAAGGCATTTGATAACTTGATGACTGCTGTTCAAAAGTACTTTAAAATTGTGTTTCCTTTTAACATTCGATTTTGGAATGAATGGACTTTCCTGAAAAAAAAGACATACACCATTAGAAAATTGTTCATACAGAATATTTTAATTTTGCTTCTTCAAATTTTCCTGTCATGGAGGTCAAAAACCAGTGTCGATTTGAATCCACTAATGATTAGAAAACTGAATGAACATTTTTAAAATGAAAATTTCTAAACAAAATTCTATTAGTGTATGGCCAGCCTAACAATGCTCTGTCCCTGCCTCCCAATCATTATCCTGCATTCTAGTCCAGGGGTGGGCAAACTGCGGCTCTCCAGCTATTGTGGAACTACATTTCCCATGAGGCATTGCAACATTACAAACTGACAGTTACAGCTATGACTTGCAGAGGCATGATGGAACTTGTAGTCCTGCAACAGCTGGAGAGCCGCAGTTTGCCCACCCCTGTTCTAGTCAATTAATATTCTCCCCCAATGGAGATTACAAACATCCATGCTGATCCACATTTCACAGGCATGTTTCGCAATTTTTACCCTCAGGAGACTCACCCTTAGAAAGTAAAGTGTAGCCAGTGCTGGAGAGTATATACGTAGACATGAAAAGGGTACTAGGAGGATCAGCAGGGCTGATATGTGACAAAGGATGAAAAAAGGCAAAGGCAAAAACAAATATTATTTAGATAATAGTAGCTCCCCTACTCTTGCTTGTGTGTGCTGTAATGTTGATCATTTATGAAAAAAATGAAATACTATATATGATACAATATATTTATACTATATATATATATATATATATATATATATATATATATATATATATATGTGGACTTGTCTATGAAACACATAGGGGAGTATTAAAAAAAAATTGCATCGCATTTCTCCCAGTATGCATTTATTCTGTGCCGATGTGGGAAAAAAAAGCTAATGTTATTAGGACATTTCCTGTACTGGAAAAAAAGGCTTCCTTTAACTTTGAATAGAAAATACTGCATGTGTCCACTAGATGGTGCTAAGTATCATAGAAAATTCCTATTATATTTAGTGCCATCTTGTTGTCAAATGCAATATTTTCAGCTTTAGGTCAATAAAAAACATTTGTCCAACACAAGTGTCGCATATCTCAGGGCTTGAAACGTCCACTCGCCTGCTCGCCAATGGTGAGTGGAAATTATGGTGGGGGCGAGTGCCTCCCCCAGGGCCTTCTTCCTGAGCAGGCTAGGAGCTCAGGCCGGATCTGTCATTTGCACTGGGAGCTGTCAGACTGCTCAATAGCTGACCGCAGTGAAAACAAAGCAAGGAGTGTGTGCTGTGCTCTCTGCCTCCCCCTAGAGTGCACTACCCAGATCTCTGAGTGAACAACGAAGTACTGCAACTTTTTTTCATGGGGGTGTGTGTGTGTTTTGTGTGTGTCTGTGTATGCATGTACAATTGTACATGTGTCTGTGTGTATGTACAAGTGTGTATCTGTACCAGGGTGGACTGACAACTCATGGGGCCCCCAGGCAATAGGGGATCATGGGGCCCGTGTCCTTGCCCAAACTCAAAAAAGCCTATGAAAAAGGTACCAGGGGCATCTCATGGGGCTCCCTACTGACCCCGGGCCCTCGGGCAGTGCCCGAGATTCCAAATGGTCAGTCCGCCTCTGATCTGTACATGTGTCTGCGTGTATGAACATGTATGTGTGTGTGTACATGTGTCTGTGTGTGTGTACATGTGTCTGTGTGTGTGTGCATGTACATGTGTGTGTGTTTGTGTGTATGTACGTACATGTGTCTGTGTGTACATGTGTCTGTGTATGTATGTACATGTGTCTGTGCGTGTGTATTTCTGTGTATGTACATGTATCTGTGTGTATGCGTGTCTGTACGTGCCTGTGTGTGTGTAAACATGTGTGTGTATGTGTGTGTACATGTGTCTCTGTGCGTGTGTGTACATGTTTCTGTGTTTGTATGTGTATGTACATGTCTGTGTGTGTGCACAGGTGTCTCTGATTGTGTGTGTTTGTTGGTGACAAGTAACTCTAAGGCCTGACTAGTAGCTCAGGACTTGAAATTTTAAGCCCTGGCATATCTGACTGTGAACCCCAAGATGACAAGGGTAGCCTCTTGTGCAATTGCCACCTAAGCACCCCTGGTAGTGGAGAAAGGGCCTGCTAGGGCAGTGGAAGGACTTAGGTGCCAGGAAGCTGGAGTAGTGTACTAAAGCTTAGAAACACAGAAGTCCTTTCAGTGGTAAAATGGAGTGTGGTTACAAGATATGTTCAACAGAAGCCAGGCAAATTGGTGCAGGTTAAGGATGAAATTCAAGGTCAGGAACAGGCAGGGGTCGGTAACATGCTGGCAGTGAGGTACAAGGTTGGGAGGTGGAATCATGGCCAGAAATCCAAGTTGAGGTCGGTAACACAAGGGAGCAGCAGACATAAAAGGCAGGGGTGATCTAAGAGAGTGGTCAGACGTGGTCGAGTCAGGAACAAGGTAAGTAGACTTTCAAAAACTAGGAATACAGGATTCAGAGTTGAAGACATTCCAGCACCAAGGCTATGTAGACTCTTGGTTTAAATAGGTCACTAGACGCCCTGATCTGGGGACGTGTGCACTCCAATGTACATTCTTTTCCTTGTATGTCTAGTTAGGTTTCTATGCTTACGATCCTGCACATTCAAATAAGAATGAGCACCTGCTGCATGAAAATTAGCATTTGCTGTACAAGATCCCTGACAGCAAGTAAAAGCCTAATAAACTAATAATTTTATGTTTTAGCCACATTCTCACAGAATGAATGTATATACACTTTCACTGGGAAAATTGCTATGTATTTTTTCATTCATAAAAACAGTATTTAGAGTTTGGAATATCCTGTTACTGAGGAAATGATCATCAGTGTTCTGTAGTATGCTTATAATACAACATTCTGTTACCATATGGCTGAAAACATGTGATTGGATATACAGTGAATAGGAGGTTATGTCTACATGTAGAGTATGTGATGTACAATTGCACTTTTTGGTGTTTTTTTTTTACTTATTTACAAGTGATTATAAAAAAAAACATTGCTTTATTGTTATTTTATTAATTGTAGATTTCTTGCTGTTACCTCAAAAGTCTTCTTCTTATTGTTTAATCCTTCTTCGTGTACCTTAAAATAGATTTATTCCCAACCTAACATAGAATTTTCTTGTAAAGTTATTATTAAAGTTGTTTTTAATCATTTTAAATCTGCAGATTTTGCTAAAATTACCTGATGATTCTGCCACGAAGGTCATGAATACAGGTCAACCAAGCATGGTAATTCCAAAACGATGCTCTAGCTGCATCAAAGAGCTGATGACAGGCACCCTTTCAATGACGGTATAAACGGGACTCTTCTCAACTTAACTCCACATATATAAAGAACAGAGGACATCTCCCATAGTGTAATACTTATTGATGAATAAATAAATAAATAAATGTATGAAGATCAATGATTAAGTAAAAAGTTCCAATCGGGTGACTGCGGTGAATCCTGATCTGGCAAAAGGTGCTAGAGTGGTGTAAGAAATGCGCACTCACCAGACGCGCATATTAATTGCGCCTTATGCAGGTAAATACAGGTGTCATCTAATGGGGCCTGGAGCTGAGAAGGTCTTTCCTCCGGGAGATGGGTCATCAAATGTGAAACCAGTATGCCAGGTGTCAGGGTATTCTAATTCCTTCTGGGAGTGGTCATATATTACCAAGTATCCATGAAGCGTGGTAGCCCGTCCTGGGATAATGGGTCTGCAGATTTAAAGTAATCTCCCAAGAAGTGGGATCAGGAATACTCCCATAGTGTAGTAAGTTATAATATCTTTATTATAGATGCATCAAATCAATATCAATAGGATCAAGTGGATAAAAAATAGATAGCAGTATGACTGACCATCTAGTGTTAAAGATGGCCACCGAGGAGCCACACCATGCCATGACGTCACGCCGCCGGAGCAACGTGGAGCTCCGGCGGCCATCTTTAACACTAGATGGTCAGTCATACTGCTATCTATTTTTTATCCACTTGATCCTATTGATATTGATTTGATGCATCTATAATAAAGATATTATAACTTACTACACTTACACTTATAACTTACTACACTATGGGAGTATTACTGTTCCCACTTCTTGGGAGAGTACTTTAAATCTGCTCAAAGAGAAGAGATATTTTGAGACACAGCATAGGTTGAAGGTTCAGAACTGGGTCCTGACAGTTATGTTACCTCCTCACTGCCTGTTTTAACCCCTAAAATCCCAATCTACAGTGCCATAAGGACATGGTGTTGGAGTAGCTGTGGTTTGGCTCCATTCAGGTGAATAGGTTATGTTTGGCAAGCACTACTGAAGGGGATCATTTTTGCTGTGTAGCATGTGCACACCATTGTCTGCTGCCTTTTCAGATTTAGGTAACACTAAAGACATGTTTTTAAATAAAAAAGAGGTTACGCTCACCTGTGTGATTACCTCCTTTTCTGGCAGTCCCAGCCAGCTCTCCTCCTTCTTTCTGGGGCCTCCTGTAGCAAGCCAGGTGCTAAAGAGGGCACCCATGTGTGCATGCTCCTATTGCGTCCCCAACCAGGCTGTGTGCATTTTTAGACACACACAGCACTGGTAAGTTATGCCCCCTCAGAGGAGTTTGACAGACAGCAGCAGGAGTCTATGGCTCTACTGCCATTGGTTTCTCCTTAGAAAGCAGGAAGTGAGGGAAGCAGTGCTGAGACTGGAGACATCGCTGAAGTGGTAACATGAACCCAGGTATATGTTCAAGGACACATAGGGTAGGTCAGTTAGTGGGGAATATTTTACCTTAATGCACAGAATGCATTAAGATAAAAATTGTTTAAACTTTACTTAGGAAGGGAATGGTTGGGGGCAGTAAAAACACAACTGTCATGAAAGGAAAAAAAAAAAACAGGTCTGAGATGGGATTGCGAAAATAGTGGCATGGTTGAAAGGCGCTCCTTTTTAAAGATTCTAACATATCTTTATGTATGTCTGGTCAGAGAGAGGCACATGAAATGAATGTTGGCTACTGCCAACAATCTGAAAAAAGAATACTTTTCCTGCAAATGCCTGTAAGGTTTGTTTGGCAAATATAATCCCTATAAAAAATGCAAACTTTTACTTTAAGTGCAGACTAAAATATGGCAATATGATCATTTTCTGTTCAATGTTTTTGGAGTTGTTACAAAACTATGCTTTCCTAAGGAAAGTGAAGAACATGCAGAATTATCTACGACTATGACAATGCTGCCAAGACTTCATGAAGCACTGTAGCGGTCTCCATTTCACTAAAAGACAGACCAGATGTAGGGGCTGAAGGTGAAAGACAGTAGTTCAGTTTCAAGCTGACTCAATAGTTGGCCTCTGTATACTTCCTGCCAACTTAAGAGCCAATTAATGTCAGTTGTGGTGGTATCTTTGTGGTTAACAGAGTTGGAAAACAAGAAGAACATACAATTTTGTTTGATTAAACAAGCTAACAGAGCAAGCCAGCAAAATATACAGTATCTTATGTATATCTGCAAGCTTCTTCTCTGGCTTAAACATAGGACTACTGATGATTAAAAAAAATAACTATAAATGTTTCAGTTCTACATGTAATTTTAAAGCATATTTAGAAGGACAAAACAATGTCGAGACTAAAGAAAAAAATTATTTGCACATTAGATTGTTTTTTTGTAGTTCTAGAACACAAGTGCTGTTTGCGCCTTCCTTCTGTTTCAGTTGGGGTACATTAACACCTATTACATGAACAATATTAAATTTGAATATACTGTAGGTATGCAAGGGCATGTACCTTTTTAAAAGTTTGTATTAGTTGACATTCTCTATAGCGTAGCAACTAGCAAAGGCACACTGTTGATCCTCCCTGCACAGCAAAAATTCAAGAAAGGTGTAACAATGCAATGAGTTTTCTATATTTTGTTATTGTGTTTTGTGTTGCTTCAAACTAGTTTGTCTGCTTTATTTGAGTTTTTAGCATATAAACTGTTCTTTATTATTTTAGTCCTCTTTAGAGGAAGGGAGGATGTTAAGATAAATGCTCTCCCAAAACAGGATATTGCATGAAACCTGTAGGTAAATAAGAGAACCTAAAAGAACCTTTGCTGCGAGGAAGAATTTGCTTGATAATAAAGTTGGCAGTGTTTCCATCCAGGACAGGGCCTAGATGAACAGAGGGGATTTCCTTCTTGAGAAATTAATGAGTAATCTAATCAATGCAATTGGGAGCAGAGGAACTACTGCAGCCAGCATATAACATTAACCATAAGTATATAAATGCACACCAGTATGGAAATAATGCAAGTGTTATGTAATAAAATGTTAATAATAATACAGACATCCAATGTACAAAAGGTTTTATCAGCAAATGACTCAAACACAAGTCCTGGTGGAATTGTGCACATATACCCAGGCATATATAGTCACAAACAGAGACACTTCCAGATGAATGTTGCAGCAAAGATCAGTTACAGGGGCCTCTGAGGATGATCATGATCAGGGGCGGACTGACAACTCATGGGGCCCCCGGGCAATAGGGGATCATGGGGCCCCTGTGTCCTTGCCCAAACTCAAAAAAGCCTATGAAAAAGGTACCAGGGGCATTTTATGGGGCCCCTTACTGACAGTGCCCGAGTTTCCAAATGGTCAGTCCGCCCCTGATCATGATGCAACATTCCTCTTGGTTTTGAAGACATAAAGACAAGATCTGCAGTGATGGGGAAATTGTCCAGCCAGCCAGGAATTAAGTTTTTCACCAGCAGAAACTGTGAT